AAAAATTAAAATTATAAAAATAAAAATGAAAAATTAAAACTAAAACAAAAATTAAAATAAAAATTAAAATTAAAATTAAAACAAAAATAAAAATAAAAATAAAAATTAAAATAAAATTGAAATAAAAATGAAAAATAAAACCAACAATGAAAACCATCAGCCCTGCTGTGCTTCCCCACCCCACGCTGCTTGCAGGCCCAGGACAGCAGCACCCCAAAGCTCAGCACCCACCCCATGGACACCCCCTGCTCCTGCTGGCCTCGGCACATCTGCAAATTATGGGATAATCTTTAATTGGAAGAGAATGGCAAACTCATTAATTACTTCAATACAGAGAAGAAAAAAGCTTCCTAATATTTTTCAAAAGAGATTTTCTAGCCCACACTCCATTATGTCATTATACCTCAATTATCTTATTATTGTAACTCCATTATCTTATTATTGTATCAGCTGATTCTCCAGGATTTGATTTTTATCCATAAAAAGGAAGCTGAGAAATTAAAGATTCTCTGTCTATATAAATAAAATATTTCCTCATTTCTTTGCTACACCAATCACTTGATTTTCCCTGGAGCAGAGGAAGCTGCAGGAAAAATCAGGTTTTTATTTGCACTCAGGAATTCCTCCATCCTCACCCCCAGTTCTGCTCAAGAACCATTTTGCATTTTTTTTTTTTTTTCCACTAAAATTCCAATATTCTCAGCTCCTTCCTGAGAAATTCTGTACAAAAATTAGCAACCCTTGGGAGGAAAAAAATCTGTGAGCACCAACAGCTTTGCTGAAAGCAATAAAATATTTTTATTGTGTAAAAACAATAAAAAATTAATTTTTTAATTAAAAAAATAAATAAAAAATTCCTCAGTGCACATCCCAGAGCTACAAAGGCTGGGAAAATTCAGATTTTTAAGAGTTACTCACTGTTTGCAACAGGTTCTCACAGAGCTTTTTAGCAGCTGCCAAACCTTCTGGCTTTGGGTGACTGAAAAAATACAAAAAAAATTTAAAAATTCGTTAGGACAAAGCTTTCTGCTGAATTTGGGAGATGTTTCTTTGCCCTAACAACGTTATGGTTACACCTTGAATTTTTATGGGATTTTTTTTTAAAAATGGATTTTAAATGGGATTTTTTAAATGGATTTTTATGGGATTTTTTTGAAATGGGATTTTTTAAAGTTTGATTTTTTATGGGATTTTTTTTTAATGCAATTTTGTGGGATTTTTTAAAAATTGGTTTTTTTAAAATGGATTTTTATGGGATTTTTTAACATGGATTTTTATGGGATTTTTTTGAAATGGGATTTTTTAAAATTTGATTTTTTATGGGATTTTTTTAAAATGCAATTTTGTGGGATTTTTTAAAAATTGATTTTTTTTAAATGGATGTTTATGGGATTTTTTAAAATTGATTTTTAATGGGTTTTTTAAATGGTTTTTATGAGGATTTTTTAAATGGATTTTTTAAAAATGGATTCTTAATGGGATTACTTTAAATGGATTTTTTAAAATGGATTTTTAAAAATGCATGGGATTTTTGTAATGGATTTTTAAATGGGATTTTTTAACATGGATTTTTTTTTAAATTGATTTTTAATGGGATTTTTAAATGGTTTTATGAGATTTTTAAAATGAATTTTTAAATGGGATTTTTTAATATGGATTTTTATGGGATTCTTTGTATTTTTGATTTTTTAATGGGATTTTTAAAAATGGATTTTAATGGGATTTTTTTATTTTAAATTTTTCATGGGATTTTAAAATGGATTTTTTTATGTGATTTTTAAAATTTTTTAATAGGATTATTAAAGGGATTTTTTTATTTTTTCATTTTTTATGGGATTTTAAATGGATTTTTATGGGATTTTTTTTGATTTTTATTGGATTTTTAAATGGATTTTTATGGGATATTTTTTATTTTTGATTTTTTAATGGGATTTTAAATGGGATTTTTATGGGATCTTTATTTTTGATTTTTATGGGATTTTTTAATGGATTTTTACGGGATTTTTTTATTTTTATGGGATTTTAAATAGATTTTTATGGGATCTTTATTTTTGATTTTTATGGGATTTTTAAATAGATTTTTATGGGATCTTTATTTTTGATTTTTATGGGATTTTTAAATAGATTTTTATGGGATCTTTATTTTTGATTTTTATGGGATTTTTAAATAGATTTTTATGGGATCTTTATTTTTGATTTTTATGGGATTTTTAAATAGATTTTTATGGGATCTTTATTTTTGATTTTTATGGGATTTTTAAATAGATTTTTATGGGATCTTTATTTTTGATTTTTATGGGATTTTTAAATAGATTTTTATGGGATCTTTATTTTTGATTTTTATGGGATTTTTAAATAGATTTTTATGGGATCTTTATTTTTGATTTTTATGGGATTTTTAAATAGATTTTTATGGGATCTTTATTTTTGATTTTTATGGGATTTTTAAATAGATTTTTATGGGATCTTTATTTTTGATTTTTATGGGATTTTTAAATAGATTTTTATGGGATCTTTATTTTTGATTTTTATGGGATTTTTTAATGGATTTTTACGGGATTTTTTTTTTATTTTTATGGGTTTTTTAAATGGATTTTTACGGGATTTTTTTTTGATTTTTGATTTTTCCTGGGATTTTTAAATACATTTCCACAGGATTTTTTTTTATTTTTATGGGATTTTAAAATTTTTACGGGATTTTTTTTTTTGATTTTTGATTTTTCCTGGGATTTTAAAATACATTTCCACAGGATTTTTTTTTTTTAATTGATTTTTAACGATTCTTTAAAACTCCCCCACACCTGATGTAGATGTACATGGGTTCAAAGGCTTCCCTGCCTGAGGCTGGCTCGATGCAACCCGAGCCCTTCCCACGAAGAAAGACTTTGGCACCAGTTTCAATCTGGATGTGCTGCAGGTAGGAGCAGGCAGGCCCCTCCACCTTCTCCTTGACACTGAACGTGGGGACAGCGTGCTCCAGCCCCACAAACAGCTTGTCCTGCACATAATGCATCTGCAAAGAAAGAAAAAATAAATTATAGCAAATTTTAAATGAAAATATTACAGTAAAAAATTCAATATTTCACTGACAGTAGGGCTCCAGCCCCACAAACAGCTTGTCCTGCACATAATGCATCTGTAAAGAAATTAAATAATTAAAGCAAATTTTAAATGAAAATATTAGAGTAAAAAATTTAGTATTTCACTGACAGAAGGGCTCCAGCCCCACAAACAGCTTGTCCTGCACATAATGCATCTGTAAAGAAATTAAATAATTAAAGCAAATTTTAAATGAAAATATTAGAGTAAAAAATTTAGTATTTCACTGACAGAAGGGCTCCAGCCCCACAAACAGCTTGTCCTGCACATAATGCATCTGTAAAGAAATTAAATAATTAAAGCAAATTTTAAATGAAAATATTAGAGTAAAAAATTTAGTATTTCACTGACAGAAGGGCTCCAGCCCCACAAACAGCTTGTCCTGCACATAATGCATCTGTAAAGAAATTAAATAATTAAAGCAAATTTTAAATGAAAATATTAGAGTAAAAAATTTAGTATTTCACTGACAGAAGGGCTCCAGCCCCACAAACAGCTTGTCCTGCACATAATGCATCTGTAAAGAAATTAAATAATTAAAGCAAATTTTAAATGAAAATATTAGAGTAAAAAATTTAGTATTTCACTGACAGAAGGGCTCCAGCCCCACAAACAGCTTGTCCTGCACATAATGCATCTGTAAAGAAATTAAATAATTAAAGCAAATTTTAAATGAAAATATTAGAGTAAAAAATTTAGTATTTCACTGACAGAAGGGCTCCAGCCCCACAAACAGCTTGTCCTGCACATAATGCATCTGTAAAGAAATTAAATAATTAAAGCAAATTTTAAATGAAAATATTAGAGTAAAAAATTTAGTATTTCACTGACAGAAGGGCTCCAGCCCCACAAACAGCTTGTCCTGCACATAATGCATCTGTAAAGAAATTAAATAATTAAAGCAAATTTTAAATGAAAATATTAGAGTAAAAAATTTAGTATTTCACTGACAGAAGGGCTCCAGCCCCACAAACAGCTTGTCCTGCACATAATGCATCTGTAAAGAAATTAAATAATTAAAGCAAATTTTAAATGAAAATATTAGAGTAAAAAATTTAGTATTTCACTGACAGAAGGGCTCCAGCCCCACAAACAGCTTGTCCTGCACATAATGCATCTGTAAAGAAATTAAATAATTAAAGCAAATTTTAAATGAAAATATTAGAGTAAAAAATTTAGTATTTCACTGACAGAAGGGCTCCAGCCCCACAAACAGCTTGTCCTGCACATAATGCATCTGTAAAGAAATTAAATAATTAAAGCAAATTTTAAATGAAAATATTAGAGTAAAAAATTTAGTATTTCACTGACAGAAGGGCTCCAGCCCCACAAACAGCTTGTCCTGCACATAATGCATCTGTAAAGAAATTAAATAATTAAAGCAAATTTTAAATGAAAATATTAGAGTAAAAAATTTAGTATTTCACTGACAGAAGGGCTCCAGCCCCACAAACAGCTTGTCCTGCACATAATGCATCTGCAAAGAAATTAATTAAAGCAAATTTTAAATGAAAATATTAGAGTAAAAAATTTAGTATTTCACTGACAGAAGGGCTCCAGCCCCACAAACAGCTTGTCCTGGACGTAATGGATCTGTAAATAAATAACAAATAAATGAAAACAATTTTAAATAAAGGTATTAAATTAAAAGCTGGACTGTTTCAGAGGCCAGGGGAAGGGCCTGCTGTCAGATGGCACAGTGAGCCCTGGGCTCTCCTGCAGGCAGGGCTGCTCTCTCCATCCCTGTTCTTTTAGGAGGTCACTGTCACCTGAGCCTCACTCTCCAGACTCAGCCTTGTCAGCCCTCCAGGTTTCACACCACCACAAGCTGGGGGTGACGTTTCTGGGGTGTTTTTTCAGCTTTTTTCTTGTTTTTTTTTTTAAACAAGCGACGCGCGACGGGTCTGCTCCGCACAAGGCAAAGCCCACAGGCAGTGGCAGTGTTAAATAAAGGAATCCAGCACTCACCCCTGACTGGAAAGCAGGTTTCTGGCCAACAGCTGGGGTTATCTGGCTCAGGGGGGCTGGCTGGTGGTACACGGTGACCGTGGCTCCGTTGAACGTGGGGCTGGAGCCCGTGGCTGCCTTCACCACGCCGTTGGTGATGATCTCCTTGATTCTGTTCACAGCTCCTGGTGGAAAACAGGAAATTGTTCTCACTCTGCAGCCCAGAGGAACTCTGGCATCTTCTGCAGAACCCTCTTTGCACAGGGCTTTTCTCCTGAGGAGCTGACGAGGCTCAGAGGAAAAGCACAGCAGTGATTGCCTGCTGCTGTGGAACGCAAGAGGTGTGAGTGATCCAAGGGATTGGCTCTGCTTAATGAGCAAGCACGGCCCAGCTGCGACACTCTGAGAGTCACCAGCTCCTGTCAGCATCCCATTCCGCTCCATCCCATTCCACTCCATCCCATCCCATTCCACTCCATTCCATTCCATCCCATTCCCATCCATTCCTTTCCATGCCATTCCCTTCCTTTCCATCCCATCCCATTCCATCCCATCCCATTCCCTTCCTTTCCATTCCATCCCATCCCATTCCCTTCCTTTCCATTCCATCCCATCCCATTCCCTTCCTTTCCATTCCATCCCATCCCATTCCCTTCCTTTCCATTCCATCCCATCCCATTCCCTTCCTTTCCATTCCATCCCATCCCATTCCCTTCCTTTCCATTCCATCCCATCCCATTCCATTCCATTCCTTGCCATTCCCTCCCATCCCATTCCCCTCCATTCCATTCCATCCCATTCCCATCCATTCCTTTCCATGCCATTCCCTTCCTTTCCATCCCATCCCATTCCATCCCATCCCATTCCATTCCATCCCATCCCATTCCCTTCCTTTCCATTCCATCCCATCCCATTCCACTCCATTCCACTCCTTTCCTTTCCATTCCCTTCCTTTCCATTCCCCTCCTTTCCATTCCATTCCATTCCATCCCATTCCCTTCCTTTCCATTCCATCCCATCCCATTCCACTCCATTCCACTCCTTTCCTTTCCATTCCCTTCCTTTCCATTCCCCTCCTTTCCATTCCATTCCATTCCATCCCATTCCCTTCCTTTCCATTCCATCCCATCCCATTCCACTCCATTCCACTCCTTTCCTTTCCATTCCCTTCCTTTCCATTTCCCTTTCCTTTCCTTTCCTTTCCTTTCCTTTCCTTTCCTTTCCTTCCCTTCCCTTTCCATTCCCTTCCATCCTATTCCCTTTCCATCCCATTCCCATCCTTTCCTTTCCTTTGCCTGGCACAGGTGCCCCTCTGAGGTCCCTTGTGGCAGGAGTGTCCCTGTCACAGCCCTGCTCCCTGGGGTGTTATCAGTGAGATAAGAGCTGTACCTGCTCACTCCCCCCACCCTCCTGGCAATCTGCCCCAAACTGGAATTTCCTGATGAATGCAGCACGTGGCACCTCAGGCATTTCTGAGCAGAGATCTCAGTGTTTGAATGGAGTCTGCCATCACCACCAAGGTGTCTGTAACTCAAATCCAACCCTTGGTCACAAACAGGGAGGGAAAAACCAGAATATTCTGTACTCACTGTCAACCAACTCCCGTGTCTGCCCCTGAACATGAAGATACAAAGGACGATCTCTGGAAAGAAAAAGTGAAATATTCAATTAAACCCACAATAATAATGGCTCCAATCTAATTATATTGCATGCAGAAAGTCTTGCATAAAAATCTGAAATGCCCCCCAGATAACGGAATAAAAATTCCTTGAGTGTCACAGTGCTCAGGCAGAAAAGCTCTGCACTGAAAATAGGATTCAGGAAAATTACTGCACTGGAAACTTTAACTAGCTTGCCCATAAATGGGTCACTAACTAAAAGCAGCGAGAAATTTGTATTTTTTGGGAAATTGCAGGGTTCTGTGGGGAGAAGTTGAGCACAGTGGGATCTGTCAGGGTCATGGTTGGGGTGGTTATTTCAGCCCAGGACCATGAGAATGGCAAATTTATTGGAAATCAACCAAAGAGAAACCCCAGCACTTTGTCACCTCAGGAGAAAAGAAGCAGAAACTCCAAAAAAAAAAAAAAAAAAAAAAAAAAAAAACCCCGGGCCCCCCTTGGCCTTTTCTTTCGGCGC